TTGGGCCACTGGAATGTAAGCCGCGATAATCGGAAGAAGTTGGACTGGTCTCCTAATTGGAAGATAACGCCTAATGAATAGATTTGACGACCAGCCTAAGAAGCAAGCCGTCATGACTCCTTTCGAATGCCATATTCCAGCTGGATATGATCCATAGACTGGAGAGAGAGTAAGTTGAGAGACATTTGAATATATGGCGGCGAGTGAAAGGAGGGTAGCTGATTGAGCCAAGACCCAAAGTTGAGATAAGAGAAATCTAGTCGTGGTCTCTTCTTGAGCTTTCGATGCTAAGGCTTTGAGCTCTTTCTCAAAATTATCTTGAGTAAATGATTGCAATTGCTCATCATTTATACTTGTTGGTTCCGATGATTTGGAAGGTTTTGGGGAAGATTTTGGTGCCATGATATCTGTGATGTAAGATAGTTCGGAGAAGAGGGGTGAGGTGAAGGTATTTAAACTCCCCACCAATAATTCTTATCGAGCAACAAAAGCAAAGAATTAAATCTTTAACATTACTTCCACAAAAGAGAAAGATTCGAGTTTATATTCCAATGAACTGATGTCTGAATACGTTGCGACAATTGTTTTGTTTGAGGCCAATGCGTGAATTCTGAAACGCGAAAGAACCACAAAACACGTGATGTTTTAGATGAAAGAAGAGGAACAAGTCCTCGCTCGGGGTTTGATGTTTTTGTTCCGTAGGAGAGTTTAGGATGAATTGGGTTAAATTGGAGTTTTGACCATGGGACGAACCAGTGGGTTGAGATTAAGGACTTAGACGTGTACTCATCATTACATCGTGATTCATATATTCAATTCAAAGGGGGGAGAACCTTTGAAGCTTTGGCTCGTTGTTAGTTTGTAAAGTAAATAAATAAATAAATATGTAAATAATGATACTACATTTTTAGGATAACGAAAAAGTTATACAGGATGCCATCGTTGCCCTGCGGAAGAGGGCCCAACATGAAAACCCTCGACCCCTACTGGGATGAAACATAATCATACAGGATGCCATCGTTGCCCTGCTGCCGAAGACCCAACATTAACGTCATCGACACCCCTCGCAACACCATCGACAACATAACTTAGATCTTAATACCCTCCAAGATGGGCTTAGCCTCTTCACTCTTCCACCAACTAACACCATCCTTTCCTGGGTACTCAAATTGATCCATGCTTGCTGCCTTCATCTCAACACTGTATCCTGGCTCCAATGGAGTTTGGTAGTAACCACCCTTGATGATAGCTGGGTGCTCGAAGTGCTCATGGAGATGGTCAACATATTCGAGAACGCTCAACTTTCCACTGACTACGACGTAGTCGATAGTACTCAAATGTTGAGTGTACTCTGGAAGTCCGACACCACCACTGTGTGGCACAATTGGGACACCGAACTTCTTGGCCATGAGGAGAACAGCCAAGACTTCATTGACACCTCCCATTCGGCAGGCATCAATTTGGCAGACGTCGATGGCTCCGCTGGCCAAAAGTTGTTTAAAGATAACTCTGTTTTGGCACATCTCACCAGTTGCAACACCGATTCCATATGGTTTAAGAGCTTCCCGAATAGCCTTGTGGCCAAGAATATCATCAGGAGAAGTGGGCTCTTCGATAAACCATGGCTTGAACTCTTTGAGTTGTTGCATATATTCGATAGCTTCAGGGACAGACCAAACCTATGTGATTGTTAGTTTGGAGACGAATCATCACTATTCTAATGTAACATACCTGGTTTGCATCAACCATAAGAATATTGCCCTTGTCGTAGCCAATAACTTCTCTGGCAATTGACAAACGTTCTCGGTCATCCGCAACGGATGTTCCAACCTTAAGTTTGAAATGTCTGTATCCCTTGGCCAAAGTTTCCTCCAAGAGACCCTTCATCTTATCTTTGCCGTAACCCAACCATCCGGCACTTGTGGTATACGCAGGAACAGCTTTGTTGTTCAAGGCATCTTCAATTCTCTTTGCCTTTCCTCCCTCTTCAGCCTTCAACATAGCAATGGCCTCTTCAGGTGTAATAGCATCAGTGATATAACGGAAATCGATACAGCTGACGAATTCCTCAGGGCTCATGTCTGCGACAATTCTCCACACAGGCTTGTTGAGTGTCTTTGCCCACAAGTCCCAAATAGCATTAACGACAGCTCCAAGGGCAAGGTGAATAACACCCTTCTCTGGACCAATCCATCTAAGTTGTGAATCGGAAACGAGATATCTCCAGGTTTGACCCCAATTCGAGACGAGGGAAGAAAGGGTACGTCCCTTGAGGCGATCGGCGACATGATCGATTGCGGCACATACGATGTCGTTTCCACGACCAATTGTGAAAGTCTGCGAGAAGAAGTGTTGGTTAGCAGGGTGTAAATAGAGTAATTGAAAGTGAACAAAATGCTGTGATCATCTTACCATGCCATGACCGGAGAACTCAGAATCGGTCTTGAGAATACAGTATGCAGAACTATAATCTCCCGCAGCGTTCATGGCATCTGAACCTGTCTTGTCGAGAGAAGTGGGAAATCGAACATCGCGGGTATCCCAACCTGTGATTGTAACTTCAGCCATGATGATTGATATGAGGAGTAATTGTGAGTAAAATGGGTAAATGAAGAAATATGAGAATGAGTGATTAAAGAGGAAGAGGAAGAGGAAGAGAGAATTGGAGAGAAGTATTTGACCTACCGATTGGGAAAGAAGCAGACAAATATATACAAATTCAACGAGCTATTGAAACGTTTGGGAAGTAGTCAAGAATGCAACATCGATTGGCTCAACAGTGGGGCAATTGGACCGAAGTCAAAAGTTCGACGATGATTTCTGTGTTGTTTGCCTGTTTGGTCAATGGCTATCAAGGATTTGTATTGGTGGAAGAATAGAGTTTCCTGTCAACCCCGCGCTATTTTTTTTTGATCATTTACCTTCACGGGCTCACGGGCTCACACGGTCCTTTTTCCTAACCCTCACTTTCCCCCATTTCACTCCACTCCACCTGCACTCACCACTCACACTTCACCACTCACCACTCACTACTTCACTCCAATCACACTTCACTAAACCCCTCGTAACCCCCTGATTCGGAACCCCCACATTGTTCGAGATTTGGGTGGGAGAAAGAAAATCCGGGTGAGACTAAATTTTGGATAACCCAGCTAGTTGCCGGTAGGTATTCATGGTTGGTATTCATGGTATTCATGCAAATACCTACAATTGTAATTAACACAAAATTGCCTGATCGACCCATCATACGCCAGCAAGATTGCATTGCTAATATTCCGAGCTTCTACTCTTTCTTAGAATGCTTCAAGAACTCTATACTCGATGAAAGACTTGGGATAACCTCGTCTTCGCAGCATTCAATTTCCACATCATGGCTTCAATATCATTTCGAGAGCCTCCGTGGTAAACTTACACTACACATGGTTTATCATTTGATCAAAGCGGAACGAAGGACACCTCTCGTGACACTTCATGCATTGAAATGTCAATATCTGAATGTGACCCCACCTGTGGACCGAGTTACTGTGGTTGTTCGTCAGTCGTATTGAGACTTCAAATAGACTCAACGCTCCACTTCGTCAATTGAGACCACAGTCATTCATTTTGGAGGAACATTTGGTGACAGTAAGATACTCAACCATTTGTGTTTCTTCTTCTTCTAAATTTCTTGATGAAAAGGAAAGGGCACTTGATCACTTACCAAGTCTTCTCGAATACCCGATGGGCAGGCCCTTTCATGTTTCATGCTAATATACCCGGAGACTGGAGATCAACGAACTTGAGCTTTTCATTCAGAGCCCATACACGTTCTTTCAGCCGGGGCTATCGGTGCAACTCTCTTACCATGCGTGCCGGGCCATCTGACAGCCTTTGCTAGAATCGATACCAGATCTGAATCGCTTGATTCCTTCCTTATATTTGAGCGAGAACAATTTTATTCATTCTTCTGGATTGATTTTTAAAACAGGGAAACTGCACAGACATCCGCAAGTAATTGTATGCAGAATACAAAGTTTCTCTCGTTAGGAATGAAGGCAAGGTATGAATGCTTCCTTACCTAGTGGTACCAGCGAACGAGCTACTCGGCTTCCCAAGAAGTTCGCCTGGAGTTTAGAGGAATTTTTGAACCCGAATTTTTTTATGCATTTACATGTTATAATTGCGCTGAATGGTTCACATTTGCTGTGCCGTTTTTCCCCATTAAATTACCAATTGGCTGGCATACGGATACTATACTCTATTCCCTGTTGTTGATATGTTGGGGAATACAGAATATGAATGGCCCGTCAATGTAAATTTTCAAAACAATCAAGCTCATGCAAAGTTTTAGCAACATAGGCTACTGATCTTGACTCAGGATACGATTGGGGAGTCCACCTAGAAATTGACCAGAACCCAGAGTGCAGGATCTTGAAATAAACAATGAACGACGTGGATGTTTAGACACGGATGCAAATTCTACCAACATGCTTTATGTTGGTCTGATGCAAAAGATGCATGGGTAGCACACAATACTCTCCTATCAAAAGACGAAGGAAAAGCAAGTTCAAAGATTTCTGCTGGTGATGGTGGTTTATTCCCAAAAAATAGATCAAGCCATTTGAAGCGTGACCGAGCAGACTGTTTTATGTTCTATGTTCTATGGGAAAATCTGGAAAGCTCTCCGTTGTCTATGGCTCCTTAATCATTGTACGGATGAATACTGCTGGAAACATCCTATAGCCCATACATTGAGTATCAATAATGAATTCCCGGGCGTTCGATTCGATAATTGTCAAAGTAAAGAAATCTGCAATTACTTCCACGCTTTCACTAATGCTCTGTAGGGATCGAAGTTTTTCTACTCAAACGGAACCCAATTCTTTCATCGAGGAGTTACCTATGGGTCGGAATCATTAGATATATTAGCTGACAGAAAAGCTTGCGAGCGTGATATCAAGGCATAGATATCTCTGGGGATCAATGTACTACATGTTTATGGGGTCGATTAAGTCAAGATCATGGGGAATGCATGGAAATGGGTATTTATCTACCTATTGACCTATCTATCACGTCTACTTATGCCTACATCGATTCTACTACATAGACAAATGAAAAGTTCTCCGCCTATATAGATATGGTGGATGCATTTGCTTTATACAGGAACACACTCGGATTCTATCTAGTCGACAATTCCATTACAAATAGTTCCACTTATTTAGCACCACTCTCCAAATCAGCTGTAAGAGATGTAAAAGGTCATATCAAAGCAAGAGGCTATCGTTCTATACCCATTGGAGGATACGTTCAGACTGACAGCGATTACGCACAAGAGACCTATCGGCTGGTTGCAGATTACATGGCTTGTGGAAATTCGAGTATTGATTTTTGGGCGTTGGTAGATTATTCATAGTGCGACAACTCCACGTTCACCTCTTCGAATTACTCTCGTCTCACCGAAAGCTTTTCCGACTACCCATTACCGATATTCCTCACAGACTATGCATGTGAGCCCACTACAGAAGATAACGGTGATATTGCCGGCCGGATCTTTGATGAAGTTGGCACCATATATGGTCCAGAAATGTCAGATATTTGGTCGGGCGAAATCGCGTATGAGTGGGTGAGCTTCAGCGATTCAGATCCCAGTGACTATGGTAAGTAAATCTCTTCGGAAAGGTATGCAGGATTTCTTACAGTGTTTCAACAGCTCTGGTAAATATAACCAACAACACAATCCAGCTCAATCAAAATTACAAGTCGCTCTCAACACAACTTGCTGCGATAGATCCTTCTATAACTCAAATGTCAGCTTATACACCAACCATCACAACAGCACCATCATGCCCGGATGAAAATGCAGCTTGGGGTATACGCACCCATCCAACATCTATTACATTCTGCTAATGTTAACAGCCGCATCGACAAGACTTCCCCCAACAGCAGATACCCTGGTATGCGATTGCGTGATAGCTTCTCTACACTGTAAAGTTGACCCATCAACACTAGCTAACATAGTCACATTAGTTCAAGCAACTCTATGTACATCAAACTCCACTATCTGTGACGGATTTACATCGAATGTCACTTCTTCAACCTATGGCGCATTTAGCGTGTGCTCTCCTTGGCAACAGGTTTCCTGGGCTATCAATCAATACTACCTGAATTCGGGAGGTTGCTCGCAAAAAATAACAACGGCAAGTCTACATAGTCTCAAAGCTCTAAATTCTAGCTGCATCGATATCCTGGCAAAAGCCGGTCCGTTAGGCAAAACACCAATTTGTTCAGATGTAACAATTGCCAATTCCACCTCAGACTCAAATGTTACATCCGTAAATTCAGACATCCCAACTGATAGTTCCTTATCCGGCGGCACCATTGCAGGAATAGTAATCGGAATCCTCCTAGCAATCATCGCAGCTGGTTGTCTCATCTTCTTCTATCTACGTAGAAGAAGATCGCGAAATACGCACATAGCCGGAGAACTAGACGCTTCCACTCCCGGTCAACATGATTCACCAGCTGAACTTAGAAATGACGGACAGAAAGCGGAATTATGGGCGAATGATACATCTACCAATGCAGGAACAACTAGTCCGAAGGAATTGGCCCATGAAGGAGACGCGATGTTACCAAGAATTCAAAATGAGAGTAGGGACATTTGTGAATTGGCTTGAATTGTGATTTGGGAGGTTGAGTTGGGGGCTAGGGGGTTTGGACTTTCTAGGTTAAGAATGAGGTATTAGGATTATCAGGACTGGTGTTAGGGGGGGGGGTCGTTGTGGATATAATGGCCTGTAAGGGAGGGAAGGGCGTATGTATACCCGGAAAAGGAAAGAGCTCATTGATAGATATCACAAGAAAATTAATGGCTACTCACTAAGAAACTTTTCTATAGATACCCAGGGTTACGAGAGAAACATGAGGAGCAGAGTTTTATGAAGACACTTTATATTAAACTTAATCATTAGTTTCCCAATCTGATACTTAGGATTTCATATCAATAAAATCTCATTCGGCTTCGTGAGTGATCACTCACAGATAAGATGGAAGGCGAACAGACGGCCATGAACCTCGCGCTTTCGATCGAGTTCTTCCCTCCGCTTGTTCGAATGATGAACCTGGACTCAGTTGCGCGAAAATGTGAATTTTACATAATTATATCTTGACAAATACTCAATTATTACATATATAAATCAAAGAAAAAAATACCTCGTCCTCGCATTAAAGTGAAGAGCAGTGGTCGTACATGTAGCAAGCAGTTTCTCCATATCAGAGAACCAAGGAAAGTACATTCATTCAGGGTATCAATATTTTGCCAGCCAGTACGTACACCTACCTGCACGCGCTTTCAATTCCCCAAAACACCGTATTTCTCCATGAACCAATAGTTGTCGATAAACTTCAACACCGGTCATCATCAAGTATATCATGCCATCATCTAATCAAAACATCCACCGTATCCATATCATCGAAACCCGCCTCTTCCACCGTAGAATCCAGTTCCAAATGATCCCCATCAAAACTCAAAATGATTTTCTTGTCCGCCGGAATCTTATTCGTACTTCTGAATCCATCTACCAATTTCTTGATCGTCGTTGTAGACTTCACATACGTTTTGAATTCCTTGATATCCTTCGATTGCGCTTTCAGTATCAATCTCATCTTGTTGACTGGTTCGGATACAACTTCAACAGGGTTTTCTTCCTCGTCGCTGATTTCTTCGGCTTCGGCGGCCTTGCAACATTCGTCCCAGAGATCGTTTGTCCATGCCTCCATGTGTATTCTACCACTATTGAAACCCTCACCCGTGGTATCGACATCGGCATTCGTATTGAAGTCGAGGCCAAGAGATGCGCAGGTCATGGAATCGAATAATCTTTTGTTTCTCCACGTGAGTAAAATCGAATCTTTCAGTTCTTCATTCATGTGTATTCCATCCATTTCTTGTTTCCCGCACCACGCCTGTCGAACTTCTCGTAGACGCTGATGAAGTTTCCGTCTAATAATCAAATTCTTGGTGTTTTCCAGTCGAGACGATATAAAAATTTCTAATATAGGTTCGGCTTTTTTGTTATCTTGGAAAACATCGTCGTCGACTGCACTTCTGTCCGGTTCATGATTTCTATTTGCCCAGTCGGCATTACTCCTCTGTTGGGCTAGATCCGCAAGTCTCTTGTTTTCTCGTGCCTTTGCCAATAATTCCGGAAATTCCTCTTCGGAAAATGCATCATCTTCATCGTCATCAGCGATAGGAATTGGTTCGGCTGATGTTACAATGGGAGATGAACTTCTGCTGATTCGCTGCGCAACAGGCGCGGCATCGTCGCTGTCGCTATCGCTCACAGATATATAACCCTTTGCAGCAACTTTCTGCTCTCCGCTCTCCCTGTTTCTACTATGTATATCTTTTGCAAAACGACCCATCAAACCCCCCGGTGAACGACGCCTTTTCTGCGGGGATCTTGTTTGCGACGTGCGACTATCAGGTGTAGATATTGACGATTCCCTAAGCCCATTAGCATACATACAACACCGTATCTACAAAGCCATAAAATAAATACCTAATCGGTTCCTCATCTTCTGTCTCACTACCCAAATCCACTTTCCCGCGCACATCCTCATTCGAAAACTTCCTTCTTTTTTCCACTCTCGGACTGGAAGATGATTTCTCCCTGCTTTGCGATGAACGCTTTCTCTCCAGGCTCGCGACCTTCTTTTCCCTCTTAATCTCCCTCTCTCTAGCATGTAGTGGAAATAGATCTTTTGCGCGACTAAAAGCATCTGTATGGTCCATCCCCGGTTTAAGCTCTGGAGCTTGCGCTGGGGTCAACTTCTTCTTAAAAAGAGAGAACTTTTTCTTGGCTGGAGGCGCCGATGCACCAGTATCGAGGTCTGCCATAATTAATTATTATTTGTGCGATTTTTGTGATTGTCCTGATTGAGTGCATATGAAAATGAAGTCGAGATGTAAATACGGGGGACATTTTGGAGGGTTGCGGTTGCGAGGCTGCATGCGCTAAAAGTACCGGTAGCGATACCGATGCTTCATTTACTGCCATTGTTGGTGTAGAAACTGTGATATTCAAAATTGTTTCCTCCATCAACGATAAGATTCTATCAAAGTTATATTGGCATTTCGAAGAACGATATGGAAAACGGCGCATTACAACAAGGCGAAGGCAAGGATCCTTCATCCTTCCTGTCAGAAATTATTGGCTCAAAAGTCATTGTAAAGCTCAATAATTCTCTCGTCTTCAAAGGTTAGCTAGCTACACATACCTGCGGTCCTTGTCCAAAACTTACTTTTTGGCAGGAGAATTACAATCCGTCGATGGATATATGAATATCGCTTTAGAAAAATGCGAGGAATGGGTTCATGGAAAGAAGAAGACAGTTCATGGTGATGCTTTTGTGCGGGGCAACAATGGTGAGGATTCTTCCTGAACGTCATTCGATATAAGCAACTAATTTTGTGTGTCTCTTAGTCATGTACATATCGGCCGATGAATCTGCTTAATTGGCACAATGGTGGAAAAGCATTGGGCGGGAGTTATGGAGTGCTATACAGGAAGGATCCTTTTACGAAATTCATGATATCCAAAAGACGACGATGGGATGCGACAAGGTAGCAGAAACTGGCGGGATTATGTGCACAGTCTTATAAATGGGTGTGCCGATACTTGAAATTCATGGAAACAACAATGGAGCAGCTTCTAAAGCTATCTAAGGCCATCTATCTACACTAGACATTCAAACCCTTGAGGTCCAGAAGAAATAAGTCTTACCATGCAAAGCAACCTCGCCCTTCTCATTACGCTCAGCATCCATTCCCTTCAACGACCCGAGAACCTTCTGCTTCACTTGTTCTTTCTTTTCAGCCTCCATCACCGCTATAGCACTCAAAGTCCCAAACCTATTCCAAATAGCCTCATCGCTCAACCATACCGTCCACTCCACATGATCTTCTCCAAGCGGTAGTGAGAACTGCGGCAAATCCTGCGTGAATGTATCTTTCAAGGTTTGCAATGGAGTGGAATCTAATTGATCCTCAAATACTTGTTTCCACTTCCCGTGCCGAAACCGTGGAAGCTCATCTTCACTACTTTCAACAATGTCTTTTAGGACCTGTTCCCATTGTGTGGTTGTTGCTCGACCGTCTCTTGGTGAGTTATCTGCATACTTTGTGATTAGTAGTAAGTGGAAAGACGCAATGTTATAACATACAATCTTCTATATTCCACTACAACGGACATGTTAGCATCTCAATTCACGCCTTCATGAATCAAGACTTCTTACGATCATTCCAAATACCCCTCCAGGTCTCAAAGCTCTATGAATCTCCTTCAAAGACTCCTTTGTAGCAAACCTTACGCGGCAAATCAGTATACACCTTCATTCTCCTACGACTTTATCCCCTCTCACTTACCAATGCCAGGACTACCAGAAACTTGAATTAGTAAACATTCTCTCATCCCATCCCTATTCCAAACCCACAAAGCAACTCACCTGCGAAGCAATAACCGCATCAGCCCAACCCTCCTCAATCTCCATATTCTGTGCACTTCCCCCAACAATCTTCACACTCCCCTTCCACGCTCCCTCATTCCCCTTCCCAAACTTCCCCCTCAAAACCTCCTTCATCTCATCATGCGGCTCCACACACTTGATCGCAAACCCTTCTTTCCTCTCCGCCAACAAAGTAGTAAATTTTCCCGTCCCAGCTCCTACATCTATAATTCTAGCTTCGTCCACATTTTCCACTCCCAGATTCTTTAGGAGTTTAGAAACTGCTTCAGGTGGGTAACTTGGACGATGTTTGTCATAGTCTGAGGCATTGGAAAAGCCATTCAGGGCTTCGGGAGCTAGGGTTGACATTTTGGAGGGTTCTAATTGGGATTTGGTATTGTATTGATAGCTGTGAATGTTGTGTGAGGCTCGGCGGATTTAAATGTATTTATTGGTTGGGGGTTTGAATGACACTACGTCAGCGATATGACAGGGGAGCGGAACGGCACCGTAAATCGCAACCACATTTGCGAAACTGGTGGGGAAGGTATAATTGAGGTTCTGAAGCATTATGGTTGTTGTGCAAGAAATATCAAATATTATTTTATACCCAAAGATTAAAGAAGAAGAAGAATTAAGAATTGCTACCCCCATGCAATATCCCACTGCTTTCAAAAGACTGTGTATTCACAATATCAAAATCACTACAATAATCGCCAACGATTCGTTCCTCCTGTGAATACCTACTCAAATTAGCATCATATCTCGAACTCCATGACACTACATCTCTCGCTATCTATTCAGTTCCAATCTAAACATTCTTACCTCTAGAACCCAGTGGTATTTCTAGTATGGAATTCCATTAGTCAGAAGCTGGAACTGATCATAGACTCCAGTCGAATAACTTCCATAACTCCTCTTTACCAAACCTCTCATGAATACTGCAGCCTCGGCCTCCGTCTTTTCCAATACAAATCTATCCCTGAAATGTTGAATAGACTCGGGCTTGAAGCAAGGAAGCCCAGAATCCATCATAAGCATAACGAGCTGCGACAGCTTCTCTGTATAAGGACGGGAGGCCAAGTAAGCCTTTACGCATAATTCCTCGAACCATTTGAATGCCTGATGTTCAGTACTTCCTCCCATCACAGCCACCATCTCCGTTGTGAGCTTGAATGGTGCTCTTTCAAATTTGACACCTCCAGGGGCAATGTCAAAGCAGAATCCAAAATCAATGTGTAGAATGTGACCAGCGTCGTCAATCATAATGTTACCATTGTGTCGATCCTTGAATTGTAACAAGAAAGAGATGACCGAGTAGGCCGCCATACTTTTGACAAAGTTGGCGCGCGCTTCTTGAAACCTAAGAGAGTCCTCGTTTCCATATTTCGATATGAAATAATCATATAGACCATTGACGGCTTCTCTTCCCAGAATATCACGCGAGATCGAGTTTGGCAAAACATCAATAACACCACAACCAGGTGCTGTCGCAGTAACACGATACGGGAAGACGTAAACATCGAGGCCGACGTTATTGAAGATTCCACGGAACGCAGCGATCATTTGAAGAGCGAGGACGTCTTGACGACAATCATCACCAACTTTGAAAATTGCTGATTGCCAAATCTCAATCGAATTATCAATTGGGGTGTCTCCGCTTTTATTGGTTTCTTCAAGCATATCATCAGTGCCTTCCATGTCTGCATCTATAGTTTTCTTGATGCGGAACGTTGCCATATATGGTGCTTTGGCATGACTTTGTAGGGGCTTTCCGGATTGTCGATCGATGCCAATTACCACACCATCAGGATTACTAGGGAGGTATACTCCAATCTCCACCTTGATCTTGCGCAACTCTTCTTCAATTTTCTGCTTCTTCTCTGGCTTGGGTCTTTTGATGTATGGCTTCAGCTTGCCTGAAATACTAGTAACTTCATCAAAGAATGTGAATTCGCGTTCATAGAAGGCTTTGTCAACACCCGAGAAGGATTCTATCATGCGATTTGTAACTTTGTCGAGTGTAGGTTTGACAACATCAGGCTGGACCCATTAGTTTAACACTTTGGAAATATGCACTCAACTTACAATTTGTGAATCTTCATCTTTGAAAGCATTGGCTTTCATGTTCCAGATAATTTGATGCGCAAAAAGTTGCGAGGACTTTGCAGTTTCGACAATGTAACGCTCAACATATCCTAGGTCATCATAGCGCAAGGTTTGGACTATCTGTGGCACGTAAAAGAATGTGACATCAACAGAATGACTCTCCAACGCCCGCATAGCATACTGAACGATGAAGGGATGGTTTCGGTATGACGGTAAGAAATATGTAACAGCAGATATCGGGTTGACAGGAGCCCAATATAAAAGGTACTAATTTTGTTAGCCTGTTAATATGCAGTTCTTTCAAATCACGTACCTTCATTTGGAATGCAACATCAGGTGGCAAAGTATCGCCAAGTAGTATATGGACTGCTTCAGGCTCCGATATTGCTTTGTCGGGAAATTGAAGCAAAAGCAAGCGAACGTCATGGTGTAACCTCGTCGAGGGAAATCTAGAAACAAGTTGAATCGCCAAAGATGGGCTTTCATTCCAGGCAATTTTCACCAGAGGAAGTAGCGCTGCATCGTTAGGAACTTTAGCAGGAGCTGGAACCTGAATATCACGACCCTGGCGTAAAGGATCAAGCCAAACATTCAATCTTATCTGTTCACTATCTATTAATATATGGAGAAGTTCTTCCTTTGCTTGCATCAATTGGAGCATAGCTGTGGGCTTGGAGCCTGTCATGGTCACACTTCTGAAGGCTACAACGACGTCGTTCAACAAGCGAGTTTCGGCTTTCAGTTGCAGACGATTGCCACCAAATGACCAGCGAGGTGCAAATGTGAACCAACTGAGGGCAGCAGAGAGAATCTTGTCCTTTAATCTACATTTCGAGGGGAGATCGAGGGTAGTGGTATGTCTCAGGACTTTCAAGCCAAAAAGGACGATCTGGAATCTTATCTCCCGAGCAAGCGGGTGCCCAGTGGAGTGTTTCAAACTATCCAGTGTCAAGTCCAGGATTCTCAAAAATGTCTTCTCGGTATGTGGGCTGCCAAGGCGAGTCGCATTGAAATGACTACTGAGGAGCTGTAGAAGTCGCGTATGGGGAGCAAGCATATTGTTGACAGCCTGTTGTTTTTTGGCCAGTACTTTCCTATCGCTAGGTGCGAACTCCTCCTTTATATAGAAAGGATCTTGATGGCTATCGACTGTTAGTTTACAAGAAAATAAATATTCGAATGTACTTACATGAACATGCCGTTGAAAATTCCAATTTTACGATGTGAAGTCAATTCCCATTGTTGAGCGATTTCCATCAGAATTCTAGGTTCCATGCTGGGATTTTCGTTGATAACGCCAAACCACAAAGAGCCCCCAAGTTTGATTGACTGCTTGGTAAAAATAGCGAAAGGTATGGAAACAAGATAGCGGATAATAGCACATTCATCTTTGTCACTTCGGCAAAGCAAAGCAGCAGCTCTTCTTAGCACATCGCGGATCTCGTTAATTGCTATGTGTTTCTTTGCGTGAATTTGTGCTTCAAGTTTAGATAGAAGTGAAACTGCATCGTTACAGTCCTTGTCAGTCTTCGATGTGATCGAAGGTCTATGTTCGTCGAGATGCATAGAGCGTAGCCATTCGGCGTTGTGATCAGGAAGAGTTTCTGCATATCGGTACTCTTGCCTTGTAGTATATTGAGCAATGAAATCAGAGGCCGTATTGATATTACACTCCCCGTGGCGATCGATTGCCTCAAGCCTCTGGTCCATACTTGGAATGACTGCTCCCATCTCGGAAGCAAACGACCGTCCGAGGGAGATATGACCATGAGCTCCTTCATCATCATATTCTGAAAGGTATGTCTGTAGTAGACCCTTTACATTCGCAGGAGCAATATTAATCACTGCTGTGACCCAGCTTTTAGCCTTCCTGTATAAAGCATCAAGGGTGCGACGACGGAG